CCATGTTAACATGTGTCTACTCTCCAACCTGTGATAATTTTATCTCCCCTTTCCCCACATAACCAACATAGATTATTTCTGTTATTAAGAAAACCTCTCCTTACCTTTTTACAACATTGGTCCCATATAGTATTTGTCTTAAGTAATTGATTAATTTCAGCATAATGTCCTGTAGGTTCATCCATGTTGTAAAGTGTTTTGCAGATTCATCATTATTCTCAGTGTTGCATTGTATTCCATTGTATGTATCATAGTTTGTTTATCCATTTCTCCAATAATGGACATTTAGGCTGTCTCCATCCTTTTGACGTGTCTCTTGGAGACAACATATAGAAAGATCCTGTTTTCTGATCCATTCTGCTCTGTCTCTTGACTAGTGCATTTAATTAATCTATTTCCATTCACTGTAATTATGGATAGGTCTGAATTGATTGCTGTCATTTTGCTGTGGGGTTTTTTGGTGGTGCTGCTGGTTTCTTTGTTCCACATAACTTTCTGTGCTGAGTTCATTTTGTTTGTGGGTTTTCTTTACATTTTCATTTCTGTTATGTTGAGATATTTACTAAATCTTTCTCATTTTCCTCTATTTTGATGTGCAAATATATTAATTTTCAGGGTATAAATTATAAGTTACCCTGAAATTTATTAATTTTTACCCTGTTTAGAATAGTCTGTGTTATCTTGAAGTATACTTGACTTCCTTGCCATTTGGGAATTCTGTATCTATACCATTCCCTCTTTTTGCTTTGTAGTTTAATTCAGTATAAATTGATACCTTGTAGGCTTGTTTTTACTTTAAATACTTCTATATTTTGTTTGATCTGCAAGGTCCATGGTCCAAACTCCTCAGAAACCCTGTACAGGGTCAATATGAGTTAGAACTGACTCGATGGCACTTAACAAAAACAACAACGTATCTGGATTGAGATATTTAAAGTATCGAAGTAGTTCTGGGTGTTATTGGCATGTATGTTAATATCAAGCTGTTGTCTCGTTGGATCTCAGTCCAAAGAACACCCTTTAGAATTATTTGTAAAGTTGATCCTGGTCATCACGAATTTCTTTCATTTCTGTTTATCAGGAATTGTCCTAATGTTGGCATCATATTTGAGGGACAGTTTTGCTGAGTTGGCATTTTTTTTCTTTCAGTTTAGTATATGTCATCGCATTGTCTTCTTGCCTGCATGGTCTCTGCTGAGAAATTAGTCTTATTGGTTCTCTTTTGTAAGTAACTAAGTATTTTCAGAGCAGCTCTCAGGATTCTTTCCTTGTCTTAGGTTTTGAAAAGTTTGATATGTCTTGGTGATTTCCTTTTAGGATCTATCCTGTTCGGAGTTGGTTCCGTTTCTTGTATGTTTATCTTCACGTTTTTCATGATAGGGGAATATTCTTCCATCGACACTTGGATAAGTTTCTCTCTTTATTTTCTCTTCTTTTTCTGGAATTTGGATCACCCACAGGATTTTCCTCTTCATGGTATCCCACATAACTCTTAAGCTTTCTTCAGATTTTTTGCATTCTTTCTTCTGAGAGACTTATTCAAGTTCACTAATTCTACCCTTCATTGCTTCGACTCTACTTCTTTGCCCTTTCAATGTATTGTCCATTTTCTGAAATCTTATACTTAATCTTCTGGATTTCTAATTACAGGTTTTGTATAGTTTGAAATTTTGTATGTAGTCTTGGAGTGTTTTCCTCAATTCTTCGAAAGTTGTTTTTTTTTTCCCATATTCTCCTCAACCTTTCTGTCAATCCTTTGAAGGTACCCAAATATCATTCTTTTGGGTTCTTTTACTGTTAGTTCCCTTAACGTTTCTCCTCCAGGAACATTTTCTGGCTCTGCATGTTGGTCATTTGTTTGAGTCATTCTCAAACAAATGTGAGCTAAAATTGTCTGGTGTCGCCAAAGCATTTTGGGGTTGTTGTATTTGTACTTAATTAATGATTAAATATATATGTTAACTGTTTTTAGGCTCTCACCAACTGTCTCCTGTGGGTGTAGTTAGAGCATGGAAATGTTTACATTGTTCTCCATTCGTGCACCTCAGTTTAGAGTGGGTTTGCCTGGTGTTGACTGCTGTCTGTCATTTGATCAGGTGGTACAGGAGCTGGGATTGGCTCTTGGCTGGTGTGTGGAGCTACAGACAGTATGGTTGGTGCTGAATGTATGGGCACAGTTGCTGTCTCCTGTTGGTTGGGAAAGAGAAAAGCCCTCCCACACACACAGAAAAGAAACCAAAACAGAGTAAACAAATAAAGGAAACAGCAATGAAAAGAAAGAATTGTAAAGAGAAAACAGAAAGAAAAACAGACAGCGACCAGAAAAGAAAAAAAAAATATATATATAGTAAGTAAAAAGACAAAAGAGGGGCAGGGAAATAGAGCTATAGAAGAGAAAAAATAGAAAATAAAAGGAAATTTTTAAAAAAATCACTTCTAAGAAAAGCTAAAGAGAGAAAAGAGGAGCAGAAAAATGCAACTATAGAAAAGAATAAAAGGAAGACATTTTTTTAAATACTTAGAAAAACCAGAGTGAGGGAAGATGAAAAGAAGAGAGAGAGTAGTATAGAAAGGTCAGAAGGGGCGGGGGGGGGGAAATATACAGGGGGGGGGAGGTAAGGGGGTGTGAGAAACAAGCAAACAAACAAAAACAGTGCAGCTGTTTGACTGAAGAGGAAAAATTCTGGTGGGCTCAGCAAGCCCAGGAGCTCACGAGGTGGTTGTGGGAGGGAAGTGACAGCAGAGTTCCTGGCCCTAGAACTGCAGAAGAGCATGTCACACAGGTGACAGGAAAGGGTCGATTCCTTCTTTTTTCCCTGTGCTCCTCTAGTGACCACAGGGATGTTGTTAAGTGCCGTGGAGTCAGTTCTTACTGCTGTGGAGAACGTTCAGTCTGGAAGTACTTTGTGGAGGCCCTTGATAACTGATTCCGGTGCTGTTAGGACCACATGGTTAAATTAGGATTTCATGGCTCTGTGGGTTCTGTAGGTCTAGAACCGAGACCGAATCCACCTGAATCCAGGCACCAAAGTAGCGCAGCAAGCCCCCACCTCACACTGGCGTGGCTCCCAACCACATGGCTCCGAACTCACTGAGAGCAGGGTCTGTGCTGAGGATAGATGAGGGGAGGAGCTGACCATCCCCTGGTCACTAGGGAAGCACAAGGAAAAAGAAGGAATCAAACCTTTCCTGTCACCTGTGTGAATCTGCTCTTCCAGGCCTACTTCTCTTGCCAAAGCTGCTCACAAGATGGCCGTGCCACGTCTGGTTGACGGTTCACTGGTCAGTCTCCCTCTCTCGTCATCTCTGCTCAGCTTCTCCCCCTAGCAAGCACTCAGTCCACTTCTCTAACCTTTACTCTGAAGTTCAAGTTCCAGAATTTTCATCTGTGTCTGTTTGATTTGGTCTCGCATATCTTTGTTTTAGAGGGTCAGTATTGTGTGTCTGCTGAGTCTATCATCTTGCAGGAAGTTCAGTCTTACTCTTTAAAAACTAATTGCCAATATACCTTAAGCTTCTTGAATTTATGTGTGTCTAAACTTCTTTTGAGTCTTAGTGTGGCACTGTAGGATAAGCATTGGACTACTAACCAAATGGTCAGTTGTTCAAACCCATCAACTGCTCCTTGGAAACCTTTTACAGAGTCGCTATGAATCAGAAATGACTCCACGGCACTTAACAACAATAAAGTTCATTTAGGAAAGATGCCACTAATTTCTCTTACTCTAAACAGGATAGCAAATGTGAAGAAGTTCACTATATAACGCGTCAAGAATAAAGCTTTTATTTTAAATTGTGTGATCACTTACATTGTAGAATATCAGCTTTACACTCAACCAACTGTATTTTGTTTCGTTGCAATAACTACAGTCCCCTCCATGCACCATCGCTTAACAGTATTTGCCTCTAGTCCCTCTTTTTTTTCTTTTTTTTCTTTTTTTTCTTTTTTTTCTTTTTTGATGTACACAAAAACACTCAGGAGTATATAATCGTTTAGACAACCAAAGGGCACATTCTGCAAGCCTGCCTCCTGGCTGCCAGCACACAGCCTTTCTCTTTCCATGAGTCCGGATTCCTCAGCTGCTCCCTCTGTCCATGTCCTCATCTCTGCCTTCATCTCTGGTGTCACCACTTCTCTGGTTAGGGTCCCACATTCTTTTCATGCTCTTCCCTCTTGATAGTCCTAGGGTCCTGTGTTCCTGGAATGCAAGATTAACTACTCCCCCCTTTTTGTTACACATCTTCTACCTTTACAGTGGCGATCACAATTAGTCATGATCACAATTACTATTGAATCAAAAGAGTCCTATCCTCATCTCCTTTCACCAGACCCATCTAGACAAGAGGAAAACTATTCAGTGGGGACTCTACCTTCCGCCCCTTGCTCTGAAACTAAACATCCTCTTGAAAATATGTAAGCCAGCCACTTCATGCCTTTGTAGCTCCCCCCCCCCCATTTTAGGTAGCCAGTGTCTTAAGTTGCCATCCCTGTGTACTTAGGGGATAGGCTTGATCCTTAATGTGAAGTCATCTTCCCTCTCAGTTGGTATTTTGAGCAACTACATCCATAAGCAAAGGTCAAAGTTCATCAAATTGTAGCAGTTTATATTTGCTTCCTGTATCAAACTTCTTTTTCTGCCTCTAGTTGAGCTCTGATCAAGCAATCCAAGCTAGGTCAAATGGGTACTATCTGTAAGCTTGGCCTTTTTTACATACCTCCTCCACTTCATATCAGCTGGACACTTCTCTCTCAGCTCTAGCCCTCTGTGGCTAGGTTAGTGTCTGTGGGCTCAGAAGTTCCCAAGTCTCCCCAAACTTCAGACCAACCAGCCCTTCCTCTTCTCTCTTATCTCAAGATCAACAAGCGTCTGTGGAACATGGTCACACTCAGTCCATGTCTTCCTTACTGCCTTTCCTCCACTTCCACTCACATGTAGACCAGTGCAATGTGGTCACCAGCTAGCTTACATGCCTGCTTGTTAGTTCCCTTTGCATTTCAGTCTTGGAGGGAGGTTTGTCCTGAAGGGCCTTGATGCTTTGCCTTGATGGCTCCCAGGTGAACAGCTTACTTATTCTTGTAATAGCCAAACAGTCTGCCTTTTTTTTCCTTTTCCTGCTAGTCTTTCTTGAAAGAAGTATCTTCTGTTCCTCTAGTCCCTCCAGGTCGGCCTGCATGTTCTTTCAAGTGGGAGTGTCCCACCTCAGGAGGTTCTAGATAGGACTCAGAAGAATAATTTTTTTCAAAATTATCTTTTCCAATATAAGTTATTACCATATTATAAGTCATATAAGCTTCTAGGAGTGAATTGGAAGAAGAGAAAAAATCTAGTTTTATTCTTTCCAAACATTTAGGTATAATATTAATTTCATGTGAATCTGAAGAAGCCAGAACATCGTACATCTCATTCTGCAGGGCTATGTGACACATGGATAAATATGTAAGAAGTGATAGAAAACAAATACCACTTTGCTAATAAAGCTTCAAAAGAGACTGCTCAGTGTGGGAACAAACAGTCTGGCCCTGAACTCAGGATCACATGGGTTCTTCCGTCCAGTCTCGGCAGCACAGTGACCCCAGCTCAGCCTCCCCTGGGTGCTGGGCAGAGGCAGGATCTGTGGGCTTCTCTGTCAGAGCAGACCCTTTGCCAGTGGGCTGACTGGAGAAGAAGAGAAAACACAGGGCCGTGGCATGTCCATTAGTGTTTGTAAATGCATGCCAATAATATTAATCCCTCCTCCCTTCTGGGAAGTAATGAATGAAGGGGGAGAGAATCCAGGATTAGCACGCTAGTGGGGCTCTACTTAAAGGAACTTGAGCAGTTTCTATAGTGTTCCTAGGAATTACATGAAATGAACTATCCTTCTAGACATAACGTTGCTGTTGAAGTGTATTTCTGCAGAATGTAGAATTCCTAGAACATAGAGTACACTCCCTTCACATCTATTTGTGATTAAATGTCAGTGTGGTACTTGCAAGAAAAGAACAAAATGTATAATAAGATAGATCTGTGCTGTTAAGTTGGTTGCACCTCATAGTGACCCTGTCTGTATAGAAGCGGCTGGTGAGCTTGAACCACTGACCTTGTAGTTCAAACCGACTTTGCAGTCCAGCGCATTAACCCACAATGCCACAGGTTTAGCTACAGAATGTTATTTTCATCATTTCTTTCATCCTAGGTAGAAGTTAATCTACTCGAGCCAAAATTCACAAGATGGTGATGCTCGTTAAAAAGTTGTGTGGCCGCAGACTATATTGTTTACTTTAATTGGTGTCATTATTAACTTCTACTGATTTTCACAGGACCTAGACATTGATCCCAAAGATGCAAACAAGGGGACTCCAGAAGAAACGGGCAGCTTCTTAGTTTCAAAAGATCTTCCCAAGCACTGCCTTTACACCAGGCTCAGCTCGCTGCAGAAACTAAAGGTGATTTCTTCTCCTGCTTACGATTACGAATAGAAAACTTTATGAAAATGAAAATGCGTTGTGGCTTGTGAACCTCCCATCCGTCCATGAGTGTGATATGCGCTTGAAGGAGAGATGAGTCCATCTGTCTTAGGTGTAACCGAGGACCCTATTCATATCCTGCCCCTGATAGTGGCCTGCTTGTATGAGCGTAGGTGTCACTGTCCTCAGTGTTGTTGAAAAGTCAGAGACACAGAGCATATTCTCTCTCAAAACATCTTCGCATTTTTAAGTAATCATTTTCTAGTTCTGTGACCTTCCATGAGACGTGGTTGTTGTTGCTAAGTGCTGTTGAGTTGGCTCTGACTCATAGCAACCTTGTATAGGATGTCCACGGAGCAGCTGGTAGGTTTGAACTGCTGACCTTGTTGTTCACAGTTCCGTTTATCCTACAATGCCACACCAGGACTCCACAAGACATAGAGCAAATTCTAATTGGATGTATTTTATTATTTTAATCTTTTTTTATTGTTTCTATTTGTCCAGGTGTGGCACTATACACTGGATTGCTAACCTAAGATTGGTGGTTCAAACCCACCAGCTGCTCCTCAGAAACCCTGTACAGGGTTGCTAGAGTCGGAACTGACTCAGTGGCACTTAACAACAATAACAACAAGTTGTCTTGTGAATAGAAAACTATCTTTGCATGGTTGAGCTATTTGATAAAAGCATATCCTTGCCAAGGTTGAACTTTTCATGTTTCCAGAGCTGCCTAACTCTGTAGTGTGTCAGCCAAGCAGGAGCACTCGGGGAGTGGGATGAGGGCCACTATGAACAGTTACGCATGGACCATGGCTGCTCTGTTCATAGCTGGTCTACTTAAATTCTCTTCGAAGTTTACCCACCATCTGATGCAGTTTAATTTCTCTACCTTTTATTTTAGATTATTATTCATCACATTTTTTTAAAAGCCTTAAGCTTTTGACCAAGGTTTAAAGCCCTCCACCGACACATTATTTTCTCTAAGAGATAATTCCCATCTCCAGACACGGAGAAGAGTCAGTTTCCCAAGTCCCACTACTTGGAAGGTACCTTTTGCCGCATCAGGAATATGATTTAGGGTCTTTACGATCTTGCCTACAGTCAGTAGTAAACTAGAATTTTGCAGCACTCCCAGAACTAGTGTTGGATGAGAAAAAAGAAGATACCTGTAACTTGTATTTCATAGCTTAAAGCAGCAGAAAAATGCCTTGAGGATTTGGAACCTAGAATGAGGGGGTTTTCTTGTGTTTTTGATGAGTGATATGTTAAGGTTGATCAACTTTCACTAAGGCGCCCTGGTGGTGCACTGAATTAGCACTCTGCAGGAGAAATGCCTGGTAATCTGCTTCCATAAAGATTACAGCCTGGAAAACCGTGTGAGGCAGGTCTGCCCTACCACGTGGGCTTGCTACAAGTCAAAATTGACTCGACGGCAGCCAACAACAACATACTCTCACTGTTGGTAAAACTGCAACTGGCAGCTCTTTTCTTTTCTTTTCTTCAGGAGCAGCTCATCTTCACAGTATGTTTGTCGTATCAGTATTCGGGATTGGAGGAGACTGTGGAGGAGAAGCAAGAGGTGAACGTTGGAAAACCCCTCATTGCTAAACTAGACATCCATCGAGGTTTAGGACGGAAGGCCTCCTTTCAGACTTGTCTTCTGTCTAATGGTCCTTACCAGAGCCCTGCATCCACCCCAGGGGTAGCCGGACACTATCATTCCTCTCAAGACCCCTTCCCCGACATGTACCACTCCCATGCCAGCAATTCAAGCCGCACCATGCCTCTGGAGAGCTGTCACTGTAGCAGGACCCCAGACCCATTGACCTCCAGTTATCGTACCCATCAGTATGCCTCCCAGTTTGGCAGCAGTAACGTCCCTGTGGAGACAACGGATGAAATAACATTCAGTTTTTCTGACGGGCTCAGAATTTCTGAAAAGTGACCTCGTAGGTTTTGAACGTTAGCATAGTTCATGTGCAGCAGCACTTTCACAACGTGGGGCATTGTCAATAGGAATGTGTGTATCCATAGAGAAAGAAAAGGACACTCAGGACCACGCTTTGAGATCTTGGAGTTGTATTTGTAAGCCACAGACTTCCTCTTTTTTTAAGATTTTTTTTAAAAAATGGGTTGGTTTGTCCTCAAGAATGAAACATGAGTGTTGGTAGGTTTGTGTGTTACATCCCAGGAATGTTTTGTACGACCACGCTGTAGCAAGAGCTGTGGGAATGGCATCATCATAGACTATATTGTTGTCTGTCTAGAACTAGGATGGACCGAGCTGCTCCTCGGACTTAACCTGATTGTATCAGGGGAAGAACCAGATTGAAGTCTCTTGTGTGAGATGAAGCCAGCACCCAGACCGAGGCCTCCAGATTCCAATCTATTCTTATTCACTACTCACATTGTCTCCCTGATGGGCTCGGTGACAAGCCTTATTTTTTTAAGGAGCCCTGGTGGCACAGTGGTTAAGTACTTGGCTGCCTACTGAATGATAGGCAGTTGGAACCCAGCAGCCACTCCATGGAAGAAAGACGGAGCAGTCTGCTCCCGTAAAGGTGACAGCCTTGGAAACTCTGTGGGTCCATTCTCCTCTGTCCTATCAGGTCAGCAAGAGTTAGAATCAATTCGATGGCACCCAACAACATCAACCTTATTTTTGTAAATAGATTTAAAAATATCATTAAGTGCAGTTGAGTTGACTCATAGTAACCCCATATTGGGTTTCTGAGGCTTTACATCTTTTCGGGATCATGAGCTCATCATGAAGCAGCTGGTGGGCTCGAACCACTCACCTTGTGGTTCACAGTCTGGTACTTATCATACAGAGCCACTGTGCTCCCCAGATACGTATATGGGTTCGAGCCCACCAGCTGCTTCTCAGGAGAAAGATGAGGCTTACCAACAGTATATGTGTGTGTATATATGTGTACACTCATGCACACACCCTCTGATTGCTATGTATACCTGTATATTATCTCAAGGGATGTCCAACTTTAGTTTCAATTATAGATCTTTGCTGCAAGTGTCATGTAAAAGGTTTATGTGCCAACCTTATGTAGACAAGACTGAACTTTCTGGTCCCTACCCATCTTGCTAAGTAGAAACTGCAGGTGAAATGTATATATTTGTTGAAACTAGACCTGCAGCTTCAGAATCAAGAGACAATTGAAGGACATGGTCTGCTGCTTATGTGAACCTTCCAAACCCTGGAGGTGTCTTCCTGATCACCTGTATTCTCTTCTTGGCTTTCACTGGCCTGAGGAGACAGTATCCTATCACCTTTGCTTCCACCTCAGCACAGATTAAAACAGCAACTGACATTCACAAGCAAAGAAGTCAGATTCATAATTTCAAAGTGTATCACAAAGAAAATGCCTAGATGCTTTTACTTGCTAGAGTTTACCAGATGTTTGAAGGAGGAAATAAACCAGTCCTTTACAGATTCTTCCCAAAAACAGAATATTCCCCACTTCAACCTGTAAAGCCCAGTATTGCCTTAATATGAAAATCAAATAAAGATAGCACAGTGAAAGAAAACCATAGGCCAACACTCTTCTGGGGGTAAAGAAAATATTCTAAAATAATAGGGATGGCTGCACAATCACAATGTCAGAGAAGCCCTGATATTGTATACTTTGAACTGGTGAGTTTTTAAAGTGTGTGAATTTTATCCCAAACATGTTGTTTTGTTTCATTTCGTTTTTTAATTAAGAAAGAGAAAGACATACACAGCAACAAATTCAAACTGGATTAAGAGCCAAAGTGTGCAAACCAAAACCATGAAATTCATAGAAGAGCAAGCAGTGGAATCTCTGTCGGGCGTAGCTTTCAGCAGGTACCAAAAAGTAAATGGAGGAGACTTCCGGCGCTTTCCTGACCGGGCAGCACAGCCTCTCCTGCTATCGGAGGACACCACTTTTGTTTTTGATTTTGATTTTGGTTTTGGTTTTGTTTTCTACCCAACTGGTGTTGCTTGGCTGTCACATAGCCTCCCTTCTGCTATTGGAGGACTCTTTGTCCCCCTACATTACACGAAAAGAGTCAGCAACTGCTGCCAAATAGCCAAGCTGCAATAACACTTTATAAAATACCATAAACCAGGGAAACAGGCAACACATGTAAAAGTTACTCTGAGTTAAGCAATAAGAAGAGTGAAAAGGGAATACCACAACCTGATCACATCTTCCTGGAGGCAATCAGAAAACATTAAAAAATTACCAAAATACATAATTAATTATTAGGGCCACAGATAAACATTAAACATGTCCAAGAAGCAAAAGCAGATGACCATATCAGCACATGTCCAGAAAAAAGATAAAATATCTGAGACAAACAAACCAGAAGTAGACCTTCTCTCCATGCTGGAAGGAGAGCAGGCCTTGGAAATACCTGAGAAAGAAATCAGAAAAATGATTATAAAATGTTTCAAAACACTTTACAATGGAGTTGAGAAAAATAAGGAAGAAGTCAGAAAAGCGCTACAGGAACAATCAAACGATAGATACAGCATTGGTAACAATCCAAAACCTACATAAAGAGGTCCAAACAATCAACAACAAAATGGCAGAAATAGAAAACTCTCTGAAAAGGCAGAGGAGTAGAATAGATGAGATGGAAGGAAGAATCAATGAGCTGGAAGACAAGTCTCTCAATACCACTAAGATAGAAGAACAAACACAAGGGTAAAAAATTCAGAGGAAGGACTAAGATTCATGTTGGACAACATGAAGAGGAATAACCTAAGAATTATTGGCATTCCAGAACAAAAAGTCACACAAGTCCACAGAGGAAATAGTCGAAGAACTACTGGAAGAAAATTTCTGTAACATCCTCAAGGGCGAAAAGATAGACATACAAGAAGCCCAGTGAAGTCCAGGAAGGGTGGACCCCAAAAGAAAATCACCAAGACATTATCATAGTCAAGCTCTCCAAACTCAAAAGA